TATATATATATATATAACATATCTAAATATGTTAAAATTCCAAAGTAAATGTGTGGGGGTTACAAAAAAATGTATAAATAAATTGGTGTGAAAAATTAAGAAAAATAGTAAATAAATATTAGAGTGACACTGAACTTAAAACAAGTGAATGTATTTTTCAAATGCACTTTACAGTGTCTTATCTTTGACGATTAATGTTGCCTGCTCAGCCTTGAATGATACATTGATTGCTTGATTGTTTTTCCTTGGGAAGTGTTGATCTGTTTGGGGAGGGGGGCGCGCCGCGCACTGCTCAGAAAATACAGAGATTCTGTGGTGAAGCAGCAGATCCGTGTCCTGTGTTTTATATACTTTCACATCTCCTCTCATCAGGTATGAAATGCATGTAAATGTAATAAGAATGCATTCTTAATGTGTTGAAGTTATTGGAAATGCAAATGTTATCCTTGAAAAGGTGAATAAGTTTGTGCGTTTAAAAATGAGTTTGTATCACCCATTTCATGCTAATGATGGAGACAACGTGTTAGTCCGCATCTATTGAGCGAAATACAAAAACATATAGCTTATTTGTGATAAATGTGACAAAAACGGTTTATCAGTTACAAATGTGTGTTCTAAAGGTTGAAGAGTTGATTAAACGGAGTTTCATATACATTCCTGTATTTAAAAAAAAAATGCAGATAGTATCCCGAAGATCTAATAAGTTACAATGTGTACATAAAAACGATTGTAACCGTCCATTAAGTCGAGTTTACATTATGTGAGTATTAAAAATGCATATAAAAAGTGATTATTGTTATAAATATTACTGTTATATGTTCTCAGAAACCTATAAATATACCATTGAAAATATATTTTAAATGTGTCAAAAGGTGTATTAAGTGTTGGAATATCTGTACAGTTCATATGTTTGAAATAAAAAATATTTAAAGGAAAGTACCATGCACATGTTGCCTGTTAAAGGGGTCATATGATGCGATTTCAATTTTTCCTTTCTCTTTGGAGTGTTACAAGCTCTTGGTGCATAAAGAAGATCTGTAAAGTCATGTAGTTTAAACGGAAGTAGGAAGTAGGCGATTCCAGACCTCCTCCACAGACTAACGTTACTGATTCTGTTAAGAGTAGGATGGGACTGACTTTGACCGATAAATACAACTCGTTACTTTTCACACTGGAATTGGGTGAGTCATTAAGTTAAAATGTAATGCAGGGTATTGATTCTTGTTTTATTTTGTTGTAATAATTACATTAAAAAAAAGCTGGAATTCAATTTTCAAACCTTGCCTTTGGTTAGAAAATATTTTTTTTTATTTAATGTAATCTTTAGCCTATCTATTGATTGAATGTTAGTCTGAAGGTCACAGTTTAGTGAATTTGGGCTGTTTGGTTTATAAGTTTCAAAGTGAGGATGATATTAAACACTCAGGCTTTTTTAAGCCTGAAAATTTGTGTGTATTATTCCGGGTGATTTATTCTGTTGTATTTCAGTTTCATTGGTACAGGCATCATGTGCTGGAGGAACATGTGAAAATGTATTTAAAGGTTTCTCAGACTGCCTGCTCAGCCTTGGAGAAAACATGGTGAACTATTCCCAAGAGCTGGATGACAGATTAAATATCTGGTGGTCTTTCTCATATTCACATATCCATGAGTGGAACTCCAGCCATCCATGACTCACAATACTGAAACATATTTCATTCGCAAGCTCTAAAACAGATTGTGCACTTTGTGTTTATCCTCATGCAGATATTGGAATGACTTCCACTCGTGCACCTCCACTGCAATCGCAGATTGTCAAGAAGGAGCAAAAGACCTTTGGGAAAAACTGAAACTGCAGTCCCGGAGCTTGGACTATCAGGGAAGCTTGTTTGAATTATGCTCAGAGGATAATGGAGTATCCAGAGTTTTATTACCAGTGGAACTGAAGATACTGCTGATGTGTTTTACCACACTGGTGGCTTGGCTTGCTTTTGAGTAATAAACCCAAAGATCTGACCTGAAACAAGTTCCTAAATGGATAATATGCACCCCTGTCTCTCTTCAACTGAATCAGTTCATGTTTTGCTGCACATAATGATGATTATGTTAAATATACGACTTGCTGGCACTCCTTGACCTTTGGAAGAATTCACAAATAACTCTCTTAAATGGTTTAGGGATCTGTTTTTTTCTTACCAAAAATTGAAAATTATTCAAAGTAAAAATGTGAATTATATTATATTATATTAACACATTTTCTTCTTGGACCATTATTGGGTAAAAACAGCAGACATTCTGCAATGAGGACCAATAATTAGAATAATTTAATATTATTATTATTTAAAGCACGCCTAAAATACATGTTATTGTCTGAAAAACACATATTTAACATAACAGACTTTTTTCTTCATAGACCAATCTGCCCAAACAAAATTAACTTAATAAAAATGGATTATTGTAATACAGAATAGGATAATGACATTTACTTGTAGACAAATACTTATAAGTTAAAGATGACATATCATGAAAATCTGATTTTTCCAGGTTTTAAAGAGGTCATATGATGCGATTTCAATTTTTCCTTTCTCTTTGGAGTGTTACAAGCTCTTGGTGCATAAAGAAGATCTGTAAAGTTGCAAAGACTAAAGTCTCAAATCCAAAGAGATATTCTTTATAAAAGTTAAGAGTCAGCCACACCTACCTAAAACGGCTCGTTCTAACACGTCCCCACATGTCTACGTCACTATGTGGGAAGATTTGCATAACGCCGCCCAAATGTTCACGCAAAGAAAGAAGGCGTAACTTTTATTCTCGCTGTAGTATTGTTGCTGCCGCCGCCATGTCATGAAGGCGCTGTGTGTTTCGTTGTGAAAGCGAAACTACTTTGTTTGGCCTTCCAAAAAAGTGCTATAATCAGGTCCCTGGTGCATCTGCCAACCAAGAAAACGTGAAAAAGATTTACCCAGTAACTTTATTTTGGTAAGCCTTTTTCTGCAAGCGTCTGAGAAAAGTAGCGCGTCTGATTTCGCTCCCCTAGTGACGTTGCAAAGGGATCTCACCAGAGACTTATATTACATATTGTAAAAAGGGACATATTATGTCTCCTTTAAAGTTTAAAAAGCTTAAAAGGCATTTGAGCAATACATAAAATTTTAGAAAAGTGTCTTATCTTGTGTTGAAACTGAAGCAAATTAAGGGCAAATCAAATCAATCAAATGTTTGAATAAAAACCTGTATTTTTTATTCAAAGGTTTTTTTCTCATATTTTTTGCTTGTTTGACTTCTCTGTTCAGTACAGCACTAATGATCTGTTGTATTTTGAGATTCTAAGTCAGTGTTTCCCAACCTTTTTTTAGTCGCGGCACCCTTTGGAAATTTTAACAAACTTGTGGCACC